CAGGACTCACACCTTTCACTCCACAAAAAATCAACTCACGCTGGATAATAGACAAACCTAAAGATAAATATTAGAACTCAGGAGGAAAAGTTTGGAAAACTCTCTGAGACATGGCCTGGGCAAAGAGTTTATGAAGAATCCCAAAGGCAATCACAGCAAGCAACAAAATAAATAAATGGGACATGATCAGACTACAAAGCATCTGCACAGCCAAAAAGAAATAGTCCATGAAAGTAAACAAGACAACCTCAGAATGGAGAAATTTTTGCTCTCTATGCATCCGATAAGGGACTGATAACTTAGATATAACTGAACTCACGAAAATCGGAAGAAAATCAAATAACCCCATTAAAAAGTGGGCAAAGGACTTGAACAGCAAACTTTTCTAAAGAAGACAGAAGAATGGCCAACAAACATCTGAAAAAATGCTCACATTTCTAATCATCAGGGAAATGCCAAATCAAAACCACAATGAGATATCACTTAACCCAGTGAGAATGGCCTTTATCAAAAAATCTCCATAAAAGTAAATGCTGGCATGGATGCGGAGAGAGAGGAACACTCCTACACTGCTGGTGAGACTGCAAACTAGTTCAACCTCTGTGGAAAGCAATATGGAGTACCTTAAAGCTATACAAGTGAATCTACCATTTGATCCAGCAATCCCATTGCTGGGCATCTACCAAATGATCCAATGACACTCACAAAAAAAGACACCTGCACTTGAATGTTTATAGCAGCACAATTCATAATTGCAAGGCTGTGAAACAGCCCAAGTGTCCATCAATCCAAGAATGGATTAATAAAATGTGGTATATGATACCATGGAGTACTATTCAGCTCAAGAAACAATGGTGATATAGCACATCTTTATATTTCCTGGTTAGAGCTGGAACCATACTACTAAGTGAAGTATCCCAAGAATGGAAAAAACAAGCACCAGATATATTCTCCAGCAAACTGGTATTAACTGAGTAGCACCTAAGTGGACACATAGGTACTACAGGAATAGGGTACTGGGCAGGTGGGGGGGGGGGGGGGGCAGGTATATACATACATAATGAGTGAGATGTGCACCATCTGGGGGATGGTCATGATGGAGACTCAGATTTTTGGGGGAGGGGGGGAAATAGCATTTATTGAAACCTAAAATCTGTACCCCCATAATATGCCTGAAATAAAAAAAAAAATCTCCAAACAATAAATGCTGGCGTGGTTGCGGAGAGAGAGGAACACTCCTACACTGCTGGTGGGACTGCAAACTAGTTCAACCTCTGTGGAAAGCAATATGGAGATAACCTTAAAGCGATACAAGTGATTCTACCATTTGATCCAGCAATCCCATTGCTGGGCATCTACCCAAATGATCCAATGACACTCTACAAAAAAGACACCTGCACTCGAATGTTTATAGCAGCACAATTCACAATTGCAAGGCTGTGGAAACAGCCCAAGTGTCCATCAATCCAAGAATGGATTTAATAAAATGTGGTATATGTATACCATGGAGTACTATTCAGCTCTAAGAAACAATGGTGACATAGCACATCTTATATTTTCCTGGTTAGAGCTGGAACCCATACTATTAAGTGAAGTTTCCCAAGAATGGAAAAACAAGCACCACATATATTCACCAGCAAATTGGTATTAACTGAGCAGCACCTAAGTGGTCACATAGGTACTACAGTAATAGGGTACTGGGCAGGTGGGGGAGGAGGGGGGGCAGGTATATACATACATAATGAGTGAGATGTGCACCATCTGGGGGATGGTCATGCTGGAGACTCAGACTTGTGGGGGGAGGGGGGAAATGGGCATTTATTGAAACCTTAAAATCTGTATCCCCATAATATGCTGAAATAAAAAATAAAAAAAAAAAACACTGGTTGAGGCCCAGACCCCAGTCCTCTGTGCACTCTCAGACTCTCAGCACCTTTGTCCTACCTTGTCCCTTCAACTGCCCTGGCACCCTGTGTCGCTGAGGCCTGGGGGAGGAAGAGCTCCCACCCTGGCCTGGGCCCCACAGCCTCCCTGAGCCTGGGGCAGGGGCCACATCAGGCACATCCTCAGCTCCTGGTGCCGACTGGCAAGTGCAGCGCTGGCCGTGGGTGGGAGGGCCGTGGCCCCGTGTCCCCGACGACCACCTTCCAGTGAGGCCAGGTGGGTCAGCGCTGCTCCTGGGAGGTTAGAACGAGCCGGCGGTGAGTCTTCCTCGCAGCACGCAGAGCGGTCACCAGCCAGGGTGGAGAGCAGCTCCTGCTCCTCCGGCAGCCCAGACCCAGGGGCCCCGCCCAGGAGAGGCCCGTGCCCGGCTCGCTGTTCCCCTGGGCTGGATCTCGGCTCCAGAGGGGACGCCGGGGAGGGGCTGCTGGGAGAGCCCCCACGGGCCACTTCAGAGCAGCGCCTTGAAGAGGAAGGAGAGAGAGGCTCCGCAGGAGAGTCCCAGGGCCAGGAAGAAGGTCATGAGGGCACCGGCCACCTCCCTCTCATGTGGCAGCACCTGCCTGGAACACCCAGGAATAGGAGCTCTCAGAACACGCTGAGCTCAAACCCGGAGCCGCCCCCAGACCCTCTGCACGTCCAGTCTGGGCTCTCACCAACCCGTAAGAGGGGTTGGTCTATAATTAGGCCCTGCTTTCCAGGCCTCGGTTTCCCAATCTATAAAATGACAAGGCCACCTCTCAGGGGTCCAACACTATGGGATTCCAGATTCCACTGCCTTCCTTCTTGACAAAATGTCCCCAACCTGGTCCTCCCTCTCACCTTTACTCTTCCTGGCTTCTCGATTCCTTTGCCCCTTGGGGAAACAGCCATGACCCTGCTTTGGATCAAAACCTTAGCTCCCCTTCAACTGAGAATTTTGGAGCTGGATGGGCCCTGCAGGATGACAGGCCAATCCATTTATTTTACAGATGGGGAAACTGAGGCTCACAGAGCGGCCCCAGAATCAGTGCACGGGCTACTTTATCAGGCAGATACCTCCCCAGTCCAGTTCTCCTCTCCCGAGCAGTTAAGTCCTCACCAGACAGGGGACGCCAGACAGGGGACACCTGCGAGGCCGGCAGACAGCTGGGGGGCTGGCCAGGAGCAGAAGCGGCCCCCCTCCCCGCAGGCTGCCCCTCCTCCAAGAGCTAGCCCTCCTCCCCACTCCCAGCTCGCTCCCCACCCATCCCGCAGACCTGGGCGCCAGGCACATGGTGAGGGACACCAGGTACCCGTTGGACACGGCAAAGAGCAGCATGAAGGTGATGAAGTAGGCGTCCTGTGCGAAGAGGATGGGCAGCCGGGACCTCTGGGGCACGTGGCACAGCATGAAGAGCGGCACGAACAGGAAGCGCAGGCAGACCAGCAGGGGCAGCAGCCGGCTGTCCTCGTTGGGCTGTGGCAGAGGCTGGGGTGAGCAGGGTCCCTGGACACCTTGGGACACCCACAGGTGGACCCATCGATCACTCCCTGACCTCCTTTGACCTGACCTACCCTCTGAGCACTGGGACCACTAGAGAACAAGGGGCTGCGCCAAGCCCACCTGGCAGTCAGTGTCCGGCGTGTGTTCTTCCTGGCAGAACTAGAGGGGCCTCAGACAGCACCTGTGGTTTTCAGACTTGGTTCCTCAGAGCACCCCTGGGGGTTCCACGGAACCCTTTGGGGCAGGTGGGGTTAGGTTGCTGCGTGGGATTGGAAGCTGGAGACCCAGGTCCTGTCCTGACTTGGCTCAGAGTAGCTCCTCATCAATCGGATTCATTTATTATATCTCTTTGGAAGATTTCATTTAAAGAAACAGCACTGTCGGCTGGGTGCGGTGGCTCATGCCTGTAATCCTAGCACTCTGGGAGGCTGAGGCAGGCGGATTGCTCGAGGTCAGGAGTTCAAAACCAAACTGAACAAGAGTGATACCCTGTCTCTACTATAAATAGAAAGAAATTAATTGGCCAAGTAATATATATAGAAAAATTAGCCGGGCATGGTGGCACATGCCTGTAGTCCCAGCTACTCGGGAGGCTGAGGCAGGAGGATGGCTTGAGCCCAGGAGTTTGAGGTTGCTGTGAGCTAGGCTGACGCCACGGCACTCACTCTAGCCTGGGCAACAAAGCGAGACTCTGTCTCAAAAAAGAAACAGCACTGTCGCTAAAAGCTATGCAAGGTCCAATCCCTCACCTGGGGCTGGATGCTGGGGACACAGAGGTCCACTGGACATGGCTCGAGTCCCAGCCCTGGCTTCCCCACTGCCACTTGGGCGGCAGGCCACTGCCAGACCACTCGGCAGCCTACTGGAAAATCACCCCTTATGCTCTCTCGCACCCTCTGATCCCAAACTGCTTCCTACAACCTCAGCGCACCAGGCCAGTGTGCTCACCCACAGGAAGTAGGAGGTCAGGCTCCGCCCCAGCCAGTCCATGATGTTGAAGAGAAGGAAGCAGCAGATGGGGTTGAAGAACTGGCCTGGGAGAGAGAGGGCTGGTGGCTCATCCTGGTCCCCAGCTTCCCTCCCTTCCCTGTCTTGTGTGCCCCTGCCCTGCCCTCTCCCGTGCCCTGACACTCACTCCACTTCCCCGGACTGGTGGAGCTGGTCACCATGGCTGTGATGGCAGGGAAGACAGACAAGGTGACTGTGAAGACCAACACAAGGCACAACGCCGTCAGCCAGATCTGGGGGCCGGAGGCAGGGTGTGAGCAGGCAGGCCCGGCCCAGCCGAGCCCCTGACTTGCCAGGACCCTGCTCCCTCAGGGTAGACACTGTGAGTACCAAGGCCCCATTCTCCCCAGGGGTGGTGGCGGGGACCACAGCCAAGCCATACCTTCCGGAAGACAATGAAGACTGAAGGTTTCCCTGGCACCTGGGGCTGGTCTGGCTCCAGCTCTGGCTCCAGCTCTGGCTCCTTCACAGGGTCAAGATCCAGAGTCAGGGCCACCTTCTGGGGGCTGCTGGGAATCCCGTTCTTCTCATCTGGGGCAAGAGGGGAGGGTGGGGTCATGCCTGTGACCCAGGTTTCCTGACAGCCAGCCCTGACGAGGAGAGTCCCAGCAGTTAAAACCAGTGGTCCAGCCCAGGCGCGGTGGCTCACGCCTGTAATCCTAGCTTTCTGGGAGGCCGAGGCGGGAGGATCGCTCAAGGTCAGGAGTTCGAAACCAGCCTGAGCAAGAGCGAGACCCATCTCTACTAAAAATAGAAAGAAATTAATTGGCCAACTAAAAATACACAGAAAAAATTAGCCGGGCATGGTGGTGCATGCCTGTAGTCCCAGCTACTTGGGAGGCTGAGGCAGGATTGCTTGAGCCCAGGAGTTTGAGGTTGCTGTGAGCTAGGCTGACGCCACGGCACTCTAGCCCGGGCAACAGAGTGAGACTCTGTCTTAAAAAAAACACAAAAAACAACAAAAAAACAGTGGTCTACCCCAGCCCCTTAACAAAGGACACACGCACAGCTGCTAATGAGTGCCGGGCAATGTGTTAAGCACCTTAGATAGATAACGCAGGGGAAAGTGAGGCTCAGAGGGTTTGAGTGGTTAAGTGACTGGCCCAAGGCCACACAGCTGGGATGTTGTGAAACCAGTATTCAAATTCAGGGGCCTCGAATCCAGAGCTTGCATGCATGAAGCTCCACTGCCTCCCATTTTATAGAGGAAGAAACTGAGGTCCAAAGAGCAGTAAGACTTTAACCCTACTCACTTCCCTCTGTGACCTCCTGCCTCTGCTCACATAAGGCTGCTAGGGTGGGGCTCTAGTTGGGGACAGAGGGAGGTGACTCTCTAACCTGCTCCGGGTCTCCCACCTCCTGCCTGGGTCTTGGGGCTTACCAGACTGGAGGAGCTCGGCTTTGGTCTCCAGCTCGTGAGCTTGGGCCTGCGATGGTTTCTTGGCCAGGTAGTAGCGAGCAAACTTCTGCGGAAGGACAGGAAAGTGCTGGTCCTGCCTGGCGTTGCTGAGGTGTCTGGATCCCCCCACACCACTAGCTTAGAGGCTGGGGCCCCCCGGTGGCAGACTCCTTCGGGGATCGGGGCTGAGCTCAGGTCTCCTCCGCCTCCCCTGGCCCCTCAGACTCAGGACTGCACCGGGACACTGTGCGGTGGGCATGGAGCCCGCCAGCAGGCTCACCAGGTGGGGCAGGCTCAGGTAGCACACGATGGACACGAGGATGCCCACGCAGGGGGTGATGAAGTACCCCAGCGCAGAGGTCTGGGCGTCCACGCCACCTGTGGCAGAAGCTTCAGCTGCAGAGAGGCGGCTGGTGCCACCATACCCCACAGCACCTCCAACTCTGTCCCACTTGTCACCGTGCCTCCTGTCCCAGACGCCTTTCCAGCCTTGCCCGCTCCTCCCTTCACTGACAAGCTCAGGGGTCTTGTCCAGGGCCCTAGACCGGCCTTTCCCCTACGTGCCACTTTTGCTGAGCACCTACTATGTGCCGCGAGCCTTCTCTTACTGCTCGTTACGATCTGAGCAGGGAACAGCCACAGCCATGTGAGGGGGAAACCGAGGCACAGAGGGGCTATGTGCCTTGTCCAAGGCCCCCAGCCAGTGAGCAGTGAAACGATTCAAACCTAAGTCTACCAGAATCCCAAACCTAAACCCCCTCTCAGCCTCAACCTGCTGCCACGTGCCAGTTGGCCCCAGGAAACCCGGCCGTCCCTGGTTGTTCCCTCACTGCAGGGCCCCAGACCCAGCCTCCATTCCACGTCACCCCACCTCCTCCGTCTACACGCAGAACCAGGCAGGCAGCCCTCTCATGCCCTCTCTGGTCCCCCGAACCCCAGAGGCCACCCCAGCCCTCCAGCCACCCAAGTCCACTCACTGGCCATGGACATGAGCATGGCAAGGGCAGCGAAGATTCCAGCCAGGCCCTGGCCGCTGAGGAAGAGGGTGCTGTAGGTGGAAGGCATGGTGCCCAGCTGCCCAAAGAGGCTGCCCTGCAGGACTGCACTGAAGGCTGTGGAGGACAGGGACAGGGCTGCTGCTCAGCTAGGCAGGCCTCGGGGGCTCCCTGGAGGAGGTGTCAGCAGGGTGCCCGGGGGGCTCTGCACTAGGCGGGGCAGGTGTGAACTTTCCAGGGACTCTGGGCACTGTGGTGCAACGCCCCCCATGCATCCTGGTCATTGGTCTGTGAGGCTGGCGGCCAGGAGGCCTGCTCTGAGGTCACTGGGGCTGGGACAAGTGACTCTTCCTCTCCCTCTGGGCCTGTTTTTCCCTCAGGGGTGTGTTGGGCTGTGCTGAAGCCCTGGGCAGGCTGGGCTGGGGAGGTGCTCACAGTTGATGAGGCAGACGGAGGCCATGGTGATGCCGAAGAAGGGCCTGGGGCTCACGTCCACCTTGACCAGCGCCGCCGTCAGGGCAAAGAGCAGCAGTATGGCCAGCAGGCTGCCCAGGACCCGCACCGCCTCGGGGACGCTGCGAGGGAGGATGGGGTGGCTCAGCCAGGCCCAGCAGGGCAGGGGAGGAAGGCAGGGGGGTCAGCTGGGCAGGGGAGGAGGGCAGGGGGGTCAGCTGGGCAGGGGAGGCGGGCCGGGGGGTCAGCTGGGCAGGGGGGAGGGCAAGGGGGAGGGCAGGGGTTCAGCTGGGCAGGGGGCTGGGGCAGATGCGGGAGGGGCGGGGCAGGGGCCACGGGCGGTCCTCCTGGGCCCAGAGGAGGCTGCCTCTCACCACTGGTACAGGAAGGAGTTGAGGAGGGTGAAGAGCAGCAGGGGCAGCTGGGACAGCAGCGTCACCCAGTTGTTGAAGTTGAAGGCGTCCTCAGGTTCCGTGTGGTTGGCGCTCAGAGTCCTGGCTGTGCTGTTGGGGGGCCCCGCCAGCCGGCCCTGGAAGTACTGCCAGACAGGGAGGCAAGGTAGGGTCAGGAGCCCCAGCCCCCCTCTGTGTCCCCCACGCTCCTGTTGCTTATCCCTGCACGGTGCCCCGCCCCCGGCACATAGTCGGACTCCACGGACGTGCACCGAGTGGAACGGCTGAAGTCTGGGACAGAGCCCGAGGCTCCGGCTTAGATGGCCCCTCCTCCCCAGCACCCCCGTTCCAGCCCCACCTCCCTCCTGCAGCGGCTTCTGGGTTCATTCGTTCCATGGCTATCTACTGAGCACCCACTGTGAGCCGGCGTTCCATGGCTATCCATTGAGCACCCACTGTGAGCCGGCGTTCCATGGCTATCTACTGAGCACCCACTGTGAGCCGGCGTTCCATGGCTATCCATTGAGCACCCACTGTGAGCCGGCGTTCCATGGCTATCTACTGAGCGCCCACTGTGAGCCGGCTCCGGGCCTAGGTGCTGAGCAACTGCACTCTCTCTGAAACATGCATCCTGTCACTCTTCTGCTTAACCACCCCACCCCCACCCCACCCCTGCCTGCCTGTTGCCCACAGGGCAAAGCCCCCCATTTCTGCAGCAGCATTTGGGCCCTTCAGAATAGATCCCGGCCTCCCTTTTGTGCCCCATCTCCTGCTCCGTCCCACTAAGCTCTAGGCAAGCCAGGCTCTGGCACATTTTCTGAAGTGGCTGGCCCTCACTGGCCTCCCTGCCTGTGCGTGGCTGTCACCTCCTCCAGGAATGCCCCCTCCTCCCGACCGCGCCCCCTCCACGCTCCACACACCTGCCTGCTCTACTCCCAACTCACAAACCTCTCCCTGTGAAGCAGAAAGGGTCCCCACTCCCCCGGGGACACGCAGTGCTCGGCTCCAAGCCTGGGCTGGCCCAGGCCGTGTTACATTATTAATAGCTCTCTGGCCTCTTGTTCTCAGGCCAGGGGCCCATTTACCTGGGCCCAGCACAGAGCCAGGCCCTCAAGTGGCGCCAGGAAAGTTGTTGCACTGAGTACATGTTGGAAGCTAGGACCCTCAACACCCCTATGACCTGTCCTACACATGGGCTTCGCCCTGGAAAATTCCCAGGACAAAAATAGCACCCCACCCTCCAGCTGTAGCCCCGAAAAGAATACGTTCCATGACGTGCTGACCCCGGAATGCTCCAGGGTGTGCAACTGCAATAGTTCCCGACCACCTGCCAGGTTGGGGTTGGGTAATCAGTTGCAAACAGCCTCAATACTGATAAGACGCTGGTTGAGGCTGATTGGCCCAAACCCAAGCCTCATAGTCACCCCACTCTACTTCCCTGTTTCTTTTTTTTTTTTTTTTTTTTGAGACAGAGTCTCACTTTGTTGCCCAGGCTAGAGTGAGTGCCGTGGCATCAGCCTGGCTCACAGCAACCTCAAACTCCTGGGCTCAAGCGATCCTCCTGCCTCAGCCTCCCGAGTAGCTGGGACTACAGGCATGCACCACCATGCCCGGCTAATTTTTTTTTTTGTATATATATTTTTAGTTGGTCAATTAATTTATTTCTATTTTTGGTAGAGACGGGGGGTCTCGCTCAGGCTGGTTTCGAACTCCTGACCTTGAGCAATCCTCCCGCCTCGGCCTCCCAAGGTGCTAGGATTACAGGCGTGAGCCACCACTCCGGGCCCCTACCTCCCTGTTTCTACTTCCTTGTTTCTGTATCCTTATAAAACCTACAAAGAATCCAAGTAAAGTAGACCTTGATAACCATTTGCTTGATCTTGTTCCTTTCTCTCGCCCATCTCTTTCAGGCATGGTCCCCCTTGACCCCCACGAGTAACAGAAGGTCCCGCAGGTCGGGACAAGTACACAGGAACGAATAGCCCAGGCCCAAAGAGCATGAGACCCTCGGCCAGGGTAGGTCCACAGGAAAAGTTTGTTGAATGAATGTTTCTAATTCGTGCTATTTCAAAGAAAACCAAAGGCTCGGATATCCCACGTTTGCAGTGGCTGGCTCAGAAACAAGACAAACAGAGGAGGCGGATGGGGGTCTCCTTTCCCGGGTCCACAGAACCCCTGCTGGTGGCCTTGCCCCTGGGTCTAGGCATTCCTGACAGTGGCTTTGGGGCCGCAGGAGAGGCTCCGCCTGCCGCGGACAGGCGCGCATCACGGGCTGCCACAGGCGGCGGGAAAGCGCCCGGCTGGCCGCAGTCCAGGCGGCGGGAGGGATGGACGGTGGTGTGGCCGCGGGGCTGTCACCCCCGCCGCGAGTCTCACCGGGATGGCAGTGATGAAGAAGTTCCAGGGGAGGAGGGTGCCCAGCCCCAGGATGAAGAAGCTGATCCCGACCAGGTGGTAGCTGTGGGGATCAGTCAGAAGGTCACCCCGAGACGCCCCCCCGCCCCGCCCTCCCGCCTCGCGGGCCGCCCTCCGGAGAGCGGACTACAATCCCCATCGCCCCGGCTCGGGCAGCCAGGGAGTCGGCTGATGGGAACTGTAGTTCCACCGGTCTTCTCGAACCCTGCATCGCCCACAGGGAGCAGGTCCACGCTGCCCACGGCCACCCGGGTCCCGCCCGCCCCCCGCCCGGCCCGCAGCTCACCTGTCCTGCGGGGCGTCTCCTCGCGCCATGGCGGCTGCAGGGGCCGCGCCCGGGCGGGGGGCGGCGGGAGGCCGCGCGGGCAGCTGCGCCCAGGCCCCGGGACCGCGGGGGTAGCGGGTCGGTCCGAGTCTGGCCGGAGGGGGAGGAGCCGCAGGGAGCCCGGGCGGCTTCCCGCGGTCTCTGGCTCCGCAGGCTCGGACCTCGGCTCCGCCCCGGGGCGGGGACAGAGGGTCGCACCTCCCTTCCCTTGTCCCCGCCGTCGGCAGGGACTGGCGGGTAGGACGTCCTAGCGGAGGGTCGCGGGGTCCCGCCCGCTCCCCGCGCCGTGCCTGCGGTGTGGAGGGGCCCGGCCGGGAGGGTGTCGCCGCCGCCGCCCCTCTCCGCGTCCCCCGCCCTCTCCGCGGGCGTCCCCGGATCCCTGCAGGGCGGGGGAGGGGGAGGCGGAGAGGCAGGGCGGGGGGGGGCTACTCCGACCCCACCCCCACCCCGCGCCCGGCGCTCCTCGCATCGCCTGCCCCGCAGCCTGGCCCGCGTCCCCTGGTGCCGCGCCCTGCCGCGCCCTGCCTGGCTGTCACCCGAGCCCCTGCCCGCCTGTCACCCGCGCCCCTGGCCAGCTGTCCCCCGAGCCCCTGCATGCCCTTCCCGGCTGTCACCCGAGCCCCTGCCGCGCCCTGCCCGCCGTCACCCCTGCCCGCCTGCGCCCCAGGTCCTGGGGCTGCGCCCAGCTGGGTCCCCAGGGAGGGCCGGGAAACCTCTCAGCGTTACTCTCAGCGGCCCCGGGTCACACATCGTGTCCCACACATGAAGATGCCCCCGCCCCCACTTTCCTGTAAAGAACGGGAAAGGTTTACACCACTGCGCTTTCGGGCTGATCCGCGCCGGCTCGCTCCCACCATCCGCCCAGGCGCGGCCTCTCCGCACTCGCGGGGCATCGCCCGATGCCGGAGAAGCCAGAGGCTCCACATCGCAAACTCTTGTCATGAGTAGTGGCCTGTCACGGCCATTTCCGGGTCACCTTGCTGCACCCCAGGCGCGAGGGGGTCTGCGGGGCGAGCCCCGCGCGTGTCCTGCCCGCAGCGCTGGTGCGTCGCGGCCCCGGCCGGCATAGCGGCGAACCGGACCGCCCAGTTACCCTCTCTTCCCTTTTTTTTGAGACAGAGTCTCACTTTGTTGCCCAGGCTAGAGTGAGTGCCGTGACGTCAGCCTAGCTCACAGCAACCTCAAACTCCTGGGCTCAAGCCATCCTCCTGCCTCAGCCTCCTGAGTAGCTGGGACTACAGGCATACGCCACCATGCCCGCCTAATTTTTTATATATATTTTTAGTTGGCTAATTAATTTCTATTTATAGTAGAGATGGGGTCTGCTCTTGCTCAGGCTGGTCTGGAACTCCTGACCTTGAGCGGTCCTCCCGCCTCGGCCTCCCAGAGTGTGAGGATTACAGGCGTGAGCCACCACGCCTGGACTCCTTTTCTTTCAAGCCCTGCAAACATATCAAGGGGAAAGTCTCGATTTGGTCCTAACACGCTTCTAATCTCCTATCCACAACCCCCAACTAGCTTCAGGGCGTCTGCTGACAATTTTACCTAAATACAGTAACTTTAATTTTCCTTAAATTTATTTTTCTTATTTTTTTTAACAGCTATTCATACTGGTTTCTTATTTAGGATAGTGGTATCGATTTTTCTTTAGAAAATCAATTTATTTATGCAAAATGAGTCATTAAAGAAAATAAAATATGTGGGGCTGTAGGCGCCGCACAGCTTTGGCACAAGTTTCAAGAAAACCGAAGAACAGAGGTTTGGAGAGCGCTACGCCAGGGCATGTCAGGGAGAGAACAGCCTGTCCCAGACCAGCAACAGGAGAATGCTGACACATTCTGGGACACATAAATAGATCGTTCTGGCTGGCTTGGTGGAAGGAGCCTCCACCCCAGCCCGGCTGGTTAGGGCAGGCCTGAGGGCTAAGGAGTTTGGACTTTGTTGGTTCTTTTGGGTTTTCTGTATAGTTGATTATGTCATCTGCAAACAAAGACAATTTTCTATCTTCTTTCCCAATCCATATGTCTTCTATTTCTTTTTCTTGCCTTGTTGTGTTAGCTAGAATTTTCAGTACAATGTTGAAAAACAATGGTGAAAAGGGACATCCCTGCGTTGTTCCTGATCTTAGTGGGAAAGCTTCAAGTTTGTTCCAGTTAAGTATGTGAGCTGTAGGTTTTTTGTAGATGCTCTTTGTCAAGTTGAGGAAGTTCTCTTCTGCTCCCAGTTTGTATCATGAATGGGTGTTAGATTTTGTCAAATGCTTTTTCTGGATCTATTGATATAATCAATGTGTTTTTTCTTTTTTAGCCTGTTGATGGGGTAAATTACATCATTGTTTTTCAGGTTAGCTTTTCAAATACTGGCCGGCCGCAGTGGCTCAGGCCTGTAATCCTAGCACTCTGGGAGGCTGAGGTGGGTGGATTACTCGAGGTCAGGAGTTCGAAACCAGCCTGAGCAAGAGCGAGACCTGTCTCTACTATTAATAGAAGGAAATTAATTGGCCAACTAATCTATATAGAAAAAAAATGAGCTGGGCATGGTGGTGCATGCCTGTAGTCCCAGCTACTCGGGAGGCTGAGGCAGTAGGATTCCTTGAGCCCAGGAGTTTGAGGTTGCTGTGAGCTAGGCTGACACCACGGCACTCACTCTAGCCTGGGCATCAAAGCAAGACTCTGTCTCAAAACAAAACAAAACAAAACAAACCCAAATATATTGAAAGATGTATTGTATCATTTTGCAATATCTCAATTATGATGTTTAATATTTCCTTGATCGAATAAAGTAAGTCCCCAATAATATCAAAGAGTAAGAAAACATTTTTAAAGAGTTTCTTTTGGAGAGACATCTTACTTCCAAGGGTAAGATAAATGTTCAAGTACTTCTTCATTGTCACTGTGCAGTTGAGGAAATAATCTGTAATTCAATGGATCACCCTTTATTTTACTATTAAAGTTAAACTGTATGAAAATGCTGACCGGGCGCGGTGGCTCACGTCTGTAATCCTAGCTCTCTGGGAGGCCGAGGCGGGTGGATTGCTCGAGGTCAGGAGTTCGAAACCAGCCTGAGCAAGACTCCGTCTCTACTAAAAATAGAAAGAAATTAATTGACCAACTAAACATATATATATACAAAAAATTAGCCGGCCATGGTGGTTCATGCCTGTAGTCCCAGCTACTGGGGAGGCTGAGGCAGGAGGATTGCTTGAGCCCAGGAGTTTGAGGTTGCTGTGAGCTAGGCTGACGCCATGGCACTCACTCCAGCCTGGGCAACAAAGCGAGACTCTGTCTCAAAAAAAAAAAAAAAACAAAGAAGTTGTTTTGGGGCTGTGCTTGGTAGCTCACATGTAATCCCAGCACTTTGGGAGGCTGAGGCAGGAGGATCACTGTGCCTGAGCCCAGAAGTTTGAGGCTGCAGTGAGCTATGATTGTGCTATCCAGCCTGGATGACAGATGGAGATGCTGTCTTTAAAAAAAAAAAAAGGTGGGTGCAGTGCTTCATGCCTGTTAATCTTGACACTCTGGGAGGCCAAGGCAGGAAGATCGCTTGAGCTCAAGAGAATTCAAGAGCAGCCTGAGCAAGAGCAAGATCCCATCTCTACTAAAAGTAGAAAAACTTAGCTGGGTGTGACGGCACGCCCCTGTAGTCCCAGCTACTCCGGAGGCTGAGGCAGGAGGATCTCTTGAGCCCAGGAATTTGAGGTTGCAGTGAGCTAGGCTGACTGGGCAACAGAGCAAGACTATCTCAAAAATAAAAAGGTTGTTTATATATTTCCCCTAGCATTTTATTTGTGCTATACCAGGAGCAGTTTCTCTGACTAATATTGCCTGACTCCTTAAACTTAAAAAAAAAAAAAAGAATGTGGGCCAGGCGTGGTGGCTCATACCTGTAATCCTAGCATTCTGGGAGGCTGAGGTGGGCAGATCGTTTGAGCTCAGGAGTTCGAGACCAGCCTGAGCAAGAGCGAGACCCCGTCTTTACTAAAAAAATATAAAGAAATTAGCCAAACAATTAAAAAAATAGAAAAAATTAGCCGGGCATGGTGGCGCATGCCTGTAGTCCCAGCTACTCAGGAGGCTGAGGCAGGAGGATCACCTGAGCCCAGGAGTTTGAGATTGCTGTGAGCTAAGCCACGGCACTCTAGCCCAGGCAACAGAGTCAGACTCTGTCTCAAGACCAAAAAAAGAAATTAAAAAAAATCTGCATAGTGGTTCATTGTATACCTAAAACATCATGTCCCTTATTGATGGACATTTAGGTTAGGTTATTTCCAATCTCGCGCTATTATAAATAATGTTGCGGTGAATAACCTTTGGGGTTTTATCCATAGGTTAAATTCCTAGAAATAGAAATGCTTTTGAGGATACGTACATCTATAATTTTTTTTTTTTTGAGACGCCCCCAGAGCTTCGCCTTTGTTGCAGGCTAGAGTGAGTGCCATGGAGTCAGCCCCGCTCCAGCAACCTCAAATCCTGGGCTCAAGCAGTCCTTCTTCCTCAGCCTCTACCGAGTAGCTGAGACTACAGGCTAGCGCCACCAGGCCTGGCTAATTTTCTATATAATAATTGGAGCTGCGCCACTTAATTTTTTCTATTTATAGTAGAGACGGGGTCTCGCTCTTGCTCAGGCTGGTTTTGAACTCCTGACCTTGAGCAATTCGCCTGCCTCGGCCTGCCGGAGTGCTAGGATTACAGGCGTGAGCCACCGCGCCCGGCCACATCTATACTTTTAATAGATGCTGCTAAGCTGCCCTCTTCGGAGATCATAGCAGGTTACACTGTTCCACCAGCTGTACATGTTGGGGCCTGGTTGTCCATCCAGCCCCAGGGTTATTTAAATATTTGTTTTAACAAACTGTGGGTGGAAAACAGTATCTTAGTATTGTTGTAATTGGCACTTATGGTTTTGGTGGTTTAGCAACTTTTTTTTTTTTTTTTTTTTTTTTTTTTTTTTTTGAGACAGAGTCTCACTTTCTTGTTGCCCAGGGCTAGAGTGAGTGCCGTGGCGTCAGCCTAGCTCACAGCCAACCTCAACTCCTGGGCTCAAGCGATCCTCTGCCTCAGCCTCGCGAGTAGCTGGGACTCAGGCATGCACCCACCATGCCCGGCTGAATTTTTGTATATATACTTTTAGTTGGTCAATTAATTTCTTTCTATTTTTTTAGTAGAGACGGGGTCTCGCTCAGGCTGGTTTCGAACTCCCGACCTTGAGCAATCCGCCCGCCTCGGCCTCCCAGAGTGCTAGGATTACAGGCGTGAGCCACCGCGCCCGGCCGGTTTAGCAACTTTTAATAGGTTAAATCATATGAAGTTGCCATTTATATAAGTCAAAAGCAGTCAATATTGGCA